AAAAAAAAAAAAAAAAAGTCTTTAAACTCCAAAGTAGGTCATTAGCATTATTGGACCGCATTTAAATGCACACAAATAGTCACATGGGAGGAGGGTAGCATTGGTTTAATCGAAAGTTCTGTTTCGATATTAATGTTACAAATATTTGCAGAAATAAAAATTATTCAATAAGTTAAAAATAATTTGTATAAAATAAATTCAGGAATGATAGACAATCCTAATCCATCATTTCATTGCACAGCAAAACTAAACTTAGAAGAACAAATATCAAATGTACGTTCCGTCAATCACAACCTCAAAACTCAAAAGTAATATTTTGTTTGTTCTTTATTTGGAAGTTGGAACCAAGAACGGTTGACGGCCCAAAAAGAGATAAATTAAACCACAACAGTAATGTGACATAAGCAATTAGAGTACTGTGATGGACGCTGCTGATTAAGGAAAATAATAAGCTAGTGGACCACACACTGATCGCTGAACATCTATGATCTAATTCACATTAAATTTCTCTACAACTTTAATGACATTCAAACTTATTTATTGAATAAGCTAAAACTTTGTCTTAATAACTTAATTTAAAAAGGTACGATTTTATATCCCTAAATAGATTTTTAAGCTTGGTAAACTAACTTATTCATATAAATAAAGGGTCAATGGTCCCTCAAATTTGGTCAAAATTTACTTTAGTTCTCTGTACTTTAAAAATGGTGATATTTTGGTCGTTATATAGATGTGATGGATATTATCCTTAGCTACGCCAAAATGAAGTATAGGATTTGAGATGAAATCCACCACACTTAAAAAAATATATACGAGATTTAAAATCACCATTTTAAAAGTATAGGAGTTAAAATCAATTTTAACCAAATTTAAAACACTTCTTATCCTAAATAATAATAATAATAATAATAATGTTTTGTCATTGTATTAAATCTTATTAATAGTATTTTGATATTATATATTTTTTACTCTATATAAGCTTAAAATTTACTAACTTATATATAAATTAAGCTTTTTAACATATTTAAAAATAAATTTATTAACTAATTGGTAAACTTTAATATACAAGAGTTTTTTTAACTAGACAAGAGTTTTAGTTCATATAGAATTTACAATGTATCCAAACTATGGGTTGCTTCTTGGTTTTCCAAGAAATGGGACTTGAGCCTAGCATGGTAAAACAACCAGTAATAGATCAACAAGTAGTAGGACAACCAACCCAATCAGAGTCAGCATATCTAACTAAAGTAATAGAACTAGATGCAGGAAGGAATAAACCTTGACCTACACTACCTTTAAGATAACGAAGAACTCGTGTGGCTGCATCAAGATGGGAGGAGCATGGGGATTGCATGAATTGACTAAGGGTGTTAACAACATATTGGATATCAGGCCGTATAACTGTGAGATATAAAAGGCATCCAACAAGGCGACGATAGGTTGTTGGATCAGGAAGAAAAGTGTCATCATTTGGTCGTAAACGAAGATGTTGTTCCATAGGAAAATCAGATGGTTGACAACCAGTCATACTGGTTTCAGATAAGATGTCAAGAGTATATTTTCGTTGACATAAAAATATTCCCTTTTTGGAGTGAGAGACTTCAATGCCTAAAAAATGTCGAAGATTGCCAAGATCTTTGATGGAGAAGGATTGAGCAAGGAATTGTTTAATATTAAAAAGGCATCATCATTGTTGCCGGTGATAATAATGTCATCAACATAAACGAGAACAAAAACAAATGTTTGACCAGAAATGTAAGTAAACAGACTATAATCAGAAATGGATTGACGAAAACCTCTTTGAATAAGAGTGGATGAAAATTTAGAGAACTATTGACGAGAAGCTTGTTTAAGACCATAAATGGATTTATGTAATTTGCATACACAAGTCTCCCCCTTATGAGAAAATCCAGGTGGGAGCTTCATATATACTTCTTCATTGAGGTCTCCTTGAAGAAAAACATTATTAACGTCAAGTTGATGTAATGACCAGTTTTTAATGGCAGCGATAGAAAGGAGAAGTCGGACAATGACTAATTTGGCCACAGGTGCAAAAGTATCATGATAATCAATACCTTCAATTTGAGTGTAACCTTTAGCAACTAAATGGGCCTTATGTCGTTCAATAGAACCATCATATCGATATTTAATTTTGTATACCCACTTACAACCAATTGACGATTTTCCTTTTGGAAGTGGGCATAAAGACTAGGTGTTGTTTGATTCGAGGGCCTGAATTTCTTTGGCCATAGTGATCAATCATAATTTGATATGTATCTTTTACTTCAATTTTAGCTATTTTACATTCCATCCATGCTTAATTATAGGATTTAGAAAGATATATGTGTTGTTGGGCTGAATTGGATAGTTGGGAATTATTATTCTAAATTTTCGCTGTTTTTGGGCTGATGAACATGTCTCGGTTTTCAGGGCATAACTTGGGCTGTGGTTATCCAAATGGTGCAAACTCGGTGGCCTTGGAAAGCTAAGACGAAGCCCTAAAAATTACCCAGAGATAGCCGTTGGCCAATTCGATCATCTAGAAGGTCAAAATCGGTGGCCAAAAATCGGTGCGAAAAATATGGCATCCAACTCATCCCACCAACAACACCAACTCATCCCACCAACCACACCAACTCATCCCATTTAGTTTTGTCTTAACTTTTCCCCATCATTTTATGTTTTTTTATGTGTTATATGAAGGCTATAAATAGGCCTTCACTCTTCCATTGCAAGATGTCCCAAACACCTTCAAATAAGTTACTCTTGGGTGTTCTTCTACCTCCCTTTCTTCTTCTTCTTCTTCTCAATTTCTTCTTAATCTTTCTTTTTATTTAATGTTATAATGTCTTTTAATTTCATGGATAGTTAAAGTTTCTAATTCAGCTTGTGGTAATAAAATAATAATAATAATAATAATAATAATAATAATAAAAATAAAAAAAAGATAATAGTGAATAAAAGAGAAGTTGTTTTGTTTGAGGAAAAGGAAAATAATTGGTATTAGAGGTCTTTGGGTTTGCTCTTATGCTTATTTCCTACTTATTCCCCATTGCTCCTCTAGTTCCTCTAGTTTGTAGCTACTTATTCCATATTTTATACTCTATCTTGTCTGTGGCCACGTTACAATCTTGAAAAGACCTTATGATCCTTTTGTGCATGTTTATTGGGTGTTAATTTTAGAGGTTTGCCAAGTCTATCTGTTGCTTGTTTTTCATGAGTGCTTTGAGAGTATAAAGTTGTCTAGACACTTGAGAGATACAATGATATAGTGCATCTTGTGAAGTTCTGTTGCTTTTGATTCACCTCTTGATCTGATTGACTGTCTTACCATGTTTTGAAATGCTTGGATGATTTTCATAAGTGTCTGGTTTCTCTGACTCTTTATCTGTTGGATGTTGTCTACTCCTTTTCTTTTCCCAGGATGCATTGAGGATTGTGTAAATCTGTTTGTTTTCTTGTGTGTTTTGTTGTCTATGTTTCTTCCTATTGCGTGACTCTCTTTAATATCTTTGGAATTGTTCTATATGCTCTACTTTCTTGATTTTGCCCAGAAGTGCAAAAAGCTGTGTGGGGGTATTTGATCAATCATAATTTGATATGTATCTTTTACTTCAATTTTAGCTATTTTACATTCCATCCATGCTTAATTATAAGATTTAGAAAGATATATATGTTGTTGGGCCTAATTGGATAGTTGTGAATTATTATTCTAAATTTTCGCTGTTTTTGGGCTGATGAACATATCTCGGTTTTCAGGGTATAACTTGGGCTGTGGTTATCCAAATGGTGCAAACTCGGTGGCCTTGGAAAACTAAGACGAAGCCCTAAAAATTACCCAGAGATAGCCGTTGGCCAATTCGATCATATAGAAGGTCAAAATTGGTGGCCAAAAATCGGTGCGAAAAATATGGCATCCAACTCATCCCACCAACAACACCAACTCATCCCACCAACCACACCAACTCATCCCATTTTGTTTTGTCTTAACTTTTCCCCATTATTTTATATTTTTTATGTGTTATATGAAGGCTATAAATAGGCCTTCACTCTTCCATTGCAAGATGTCCCAAACACCTTCAAATAAGTTATTCTTGGGTGTTCTTCTACCTCCCTTTCTTCTTCTTCGTCTCAATTTCTTCTTAATCGTTCTTTATATTTAATGTTATAATATCTTTTAATTTGATTGATAGTTAAAGTTTCTAATTCAGCTTGTGATAATAATAAAAATAATAATAATAATAATTAAAAAAAAGAGAGAATTTTTTTTTTACCACAAGCTGAATTAGAAACTTTAACTATCCATGAAATTAAAAGACATTATAACATTAAATAAAAAGAAAGATTAAGAAGAAAGGGAGGTAGAAGAACACCCAAGAGTAACTTATTTGAAGATGTTTGGGACATTTTGCAATGGAAGAGTGAAGGCCTATTTATAGCCTTCATATAACACATAAAAAAACATAAAATAATGGGAAAAGTTAAGACAAAACGAAATGGGATGAGTTGGTGTAGTTGGTGGGATGAGTTGGCTGCCATATATTTTTTGCACCGATTTTTGGCCACCGATTTTGACCTTCTAGATGATCGAATTGGCCAACGGATATTTCTGGGTAATTTTTAGGGCTTCGTATTAGCTTTCCAAGGCCATCGAGTTTGCACCATTTGGATAACCACAACCCAAGTTATGCCCTCAACCAAGACATGTTCATCAGCCCAAAAGCAGCGAAAATTTAGAATAATAATTCCCAACTATCCAATTAGGCCCAACAACACATATATCTTTCTAAATCCTATAATTAAGCATGGATGGAATGTAAAATAGCTAAAATTGAAGTAAAAGATACATATCAAATTATGATTGATCAAATAGCCCCACACTTAGCTTTTTGCACTCCTGGGCAAAATCAAGAAAGCAGAGCAGAGAACCATTCCAAAGATATCAAAGAGAGTGACGCAACAAGAAGAAACAGAGACAAAAAAACACACAAGAAAACAAACAGATTTACACAATCCTCAATGAATCCTGGGAAAAGAAAAGGAGTAGACAACATCCAACACATAAAGAGTCAGAGAAACCAGACACTTATGGAAATCATCCAAGCATTTCAAAACATAGTAAGACAGTCAATCAACTCAAGAGGTGAATCAAAAGAAACAGAACCTCACAAGATGCACTATATCACTGTATCTTTCAAGTGTCTAGGCAACTATATACTCTCAAAGCACTCATGAAAAACAAGCAACAGATAGACTTGGCAAGCCTCTAAAATCAACACCCAATAAACATGCACAAAAGGACCATAAGGTCTTTTCAGGATTGTAATGTGGCCACGAACAAGATAGAGGATAAAATATGGAATAAGTAGCTACAAACTAGAGGAACTAGAGGAGCAATGGGCAATAAGTAGGAAATAAGCATAAGAGCAAACCCAAAAACCTCTAATACCAATTATTTTCCTTTTCCTCAAACAAAACAGCTTCTCTTTTATTCACTATTATCTTTTTTTTTTTTTGATGAATGAACAGTACATCATGAAACACTAAGACATATACAATCGGAAGAATTAACTAGCCAAAATACAATAATCAATGAGACACCCCCTTACTTATTCAAGAATTTATTCCCGAAAAATTCCAAAGCTCCAAAACTCCCTAAGGTTAAGGTAATCATGGTTTTTCGCTTAAGGCTTGTAATGAGCTTCAAACAAAGAAGGGTAAATAGGCTCAGTAGGGGTTATCAAAGGAGTTAATTCAAGGTAGGCTTATTTGGCTAGAGGCTTATAAGAACAAAAATGCCTTAATCATATCCAAACATGCATGTAAATCAAGAAGTATCAAACAGAGTCAAGAAGGCAACTGTGCAAGTAATCAAGATGCATAACACACAAGAAAGAACAAAGAGTGGCTGAAATCCTCGCACAGGGTATATCTGTCACATTCAATTCAACCTCTCAGACCTCATAATCAACTTTCCAAGCAGAGAAAAATAGGGATTTCAATCCATACAATATCAAGTAACTCATATCCAAGAGTGAAGCAAGTGCCTACAACTATCAAAACTCAGAAATCAAAGAGAAACATGAAAAACTGTGCATAACACCTAAACATAAAACCTAAACCAAAAATAACAAATAAACCCCAAAAGCATATAACCAAAACAGTTCCTTAAAAAATAAAAAATATAAAAAAAAAATGAAAAAAAAATGAAAAATTTTTTTTATTACCACAAGCTGAATTAGAAACTTTAACTATCCATGAAATTAAAAGACATTATAACATTAAATAAAAATAAAGATTAAGAAGAAAGTGAGAAGAAGAAGAAAGGTAGGTAGAAGAACACCAAAGAGTAACTTATTTGAAGGTGTTTGGGACATCTTACAATGGAAGAGTGAAGGCCTATTTATAGCCTTCATATAACAAATAAAAAACATAAAATAATGGGGAAAAGTTAAGACAAAACGAAATGGGATGAGTTGGTGTGGTTGGTGGGGTGAGTTGGTGTTGTTGGTGGGATGAGTTGGATGC